GTCTCAGCATTAATCGTGGCCCTGGGGAATTACTAACAGGAAGGTATTGGTCTAACCATCTCCCCCAGTGCTTTGCTGGAACCAGCTGTGAGACCCTGCACCAGTCATTGAACCTCTGAGACCCAGATGCTCCTCTATAAAATGAGGGTCTGCCCCTGTTTGACCTCTGGGACAGCCATCCTCAGGAGACTGTGCCTTCTGTTCTTGCTTTGAGCCATACTGGAGGCAAATATGCAGAGTTGCATTGCATGGGAAGAAGTGGGGAAAGGAGAGAAGTTTGGAGCGTCCTCTCAGGACACTGCACTGACAGAGGTCAAATTAGATGTTCAGGGAATTCGTGATGTCATTCGTGCCTCTATGCTCAGTCTGAGCTGAGGATGATCACATTATAAAAACAATAAAAGCGACACAGGTGCAGGTCAAGCCCAGGTAAATAGGACTTAGTTCATGGTTGGGTTCTCTATGCTGACTGTACACCAGTGAATCTACAGTGCGAAGCACAAACACTGAATGACACCCAAGATTTGAAGGCACTGATCATTCTCAGAGTATCAGTCCCTGATCTCTGGTGGTCTAGAACATATATGAGATAAGCAAACAGGGAGTACAGAGGCAGAATGGCTTGCTAATTGGGGATTGGCTTATACGATCTGCATCATCATGACTGGTTGTTTCTAAGCAACACAAGCAACTAATACCTGGACAACTAAGACACTGATGTGTACTGGCTGGGATGGGGTGGGGGAGGGGCATTTTCCATTGAAAATCTAAAGTGCTTGTAAAAAACCTGCTCATAAAGCCCCTTTCCTTTCTTATTTCTTGCAAGCTCAAAGCAACAAAGTAAAAAGGAGATAAACTTTTTCCTCTGAACCCAGGAGCGGCCACCTGTTCATGCTGACGTCACTTCCAGTGCCCACTAAGACCTGATTCTCCTTGTCCTGGCCCTGTCCTCACCTGCTGGCCCAGCAGTTGGAGAGCTTGTGTGGCCTATGTGTCTTCTAGGGGACTTCACGGAGAGCCACCTCCTTGTGCCCCATTGGCAATGTTTCATTGGTGGAGGAACAGCATGTGGACAGGGCACTGTGCTGTCTCTCTGGGTAAGGGAATGTCAGGTTAGGGTCCTGCTGTGTGAAATTTGTGCAGTAGGGAGAGCACAGTCTTTCTGTCACTCTGGCACATGTGATTACTTTTCCAAAGCACAAATGTCCACCATGGTTTGGATCCAACTCCATCACCATCTTTCTTTCCTTTTAGCTTGCCTGTGTCTCTGCCCTCCCTGTGCTCCTTCACTTGGACACATACCCTGTGGTGCCCCTTTTTCTTTGCTTCTGAGTCACCTCTGCAGCTCTAAGAAATTGAATTTACATCTTAAACCTCCACTGTGACTCGAATGTTCTGCTTGTCAGCTTTTATGGCCAAACCCAGTTTCTGATGTGCTCTCTGAAAGTCTTTGAAATACACAATTTCCTAAATCACTAGTACTTAGATCTACCAAAAATCCTTGCTTTTGCAGCAGACTTGTTCCTAATGAATTGTTTAAACTCTCTGTCCCTGGAGGTGATATAGCAAATCTTTACTTCAGTGGACTGAGACAAAAACCCTATTACTATATTCCTATAATTAATTATATTTGCTACACATAGTAGGGATGAGATTTCTCCCTCCAAAACCTGAAATCTTTTGTTTCATGAAAATTTAGCAATGCTGTAATGATCACCTGTCTAAATCTGAAAACAGTATCTAAGCTATTACTGGTTTGGGGTTCTCAAGTAGCCCTTTTGTTTCTTCCTAGGTGGGAACACGTGGTTGAAGAGGAAGGCTTGCACGTTCCCTGCACTTTTTATCTTAGCAGAGCGTCCATCAGCTGTCACACTTCAGTTTCATTTATATTTGAGGCTTCCATTTGGATGTATTTGAGAAAAAAAAATCGTAAGGGCATAAGCGTTTTACAGCACTATAGGAAATGCAGCAGCCTTGAGTGGAACTCACTGATTTTCTTTAGCATTTTGATTATATGGGTCTATGAGTTCAGATGAATCAAAGTAAAAATGAAACTCAGCAGGCATGATGAAATCAACCGAAGCCACTGCAACGGTTGGGCAGAGCCCACAAGAATGGTTTTATTCTCTGCAACCAGGGGATAGAACTGGGGCTTCATTCCTGAGACAGCTTCTGAGACCTATCATCACTCAGCGTCTCAAACAGAAGAGGAGACATCTTTTCAACAGTGGAATTGGTTTTTCTGTACGGGAGCTCTGAACAGACTTCAGGAAAGGATACAGAGCCACTTAATCTCTATAAACAACAGGGTGAATGCATTCTACCATTTTTTAAATTACACACATTTAATTTCCCAGCATGCATGCTGTGTAACTGACATGATGGGTGGGGCTTGGGGTTGAATGACACCGAAGCAGAATATTCCGAAAACTTTTTAATTTAATCAGCCACTGACAGAGGGAAGGGGATGGAGTCAGGGAAACAGTGCTGACCTTGTGCTTCTATTCTCTGTTCCATCCTCCCTCTGGGAGCCTGTCAGAGTGCTCAGAAATTTGTTATGTAAATGTCATTTTCAAAGAAGCATTTTGTTCATTTGTGCAACAAAAATGCTAATATTTTCCTCATCCGCCTCGCTTGAGGCTGTGGGTAACCAAGGAGATCAGACATGTGTGTAACTGGAAAATACTGTTGATGTGGAACATGGTTACTGCACAAGGTAGGGACCTTCTTAAAGGGAACTTGGGTCTGCAAACTGCTGTTTGGAATCTGAAGGTCAAATACAATGCTTGATCTCAGTTGCCCGGAAAAAAGGGTTACGCAAAAGTTCTTCAGGAGGCAAAAGTATTCTGCATGATTGCAACATTGATTGTGTTTCAGGAAAGTGTCAAGTAAAATATGATTTAGAAGAGTGTCTTTATAGCCACAAAACTCAATATTGAGGCCGTGCCATGTAATAAGCAATTTGCCTCATTAGTGTATCCTAATATTTCTAAAAACAACAGCTTTGCAACTGAATACAAATAAATATTGATGGTATGCTTCTCTTATTTTCTCTTTTTAAAATTAAAATCTCCTCACAATACTCTTGAGCATTAATTGCTGTAATTTTTAAATCAGGAAATCTAATATTGAATTGTAAACCATTTTGTGTTTTCTAGTATTTTTAATGAGCATTTCTCAAACATGGTTTGAGCTTCTTTTTCTTATTCCTCAGAGTACCTAGCAAAGTGCTAGACAAAAGACAGACTTACAATAAATTCTTTCTGAGGACTGATTTATTGATTTAAGGAAAAACAACCTAGTATTACTAGAAATGACATTCTCCAGCACATACTATTTAATGTTGCTGGAATCTTCTCATTAAGAAGGACAGTAGAAACTACAGAAGTGGGGTTTTTGTAAGTATAGTAAGTTAATTATTCAATGAAAATCTTTTCTCTAATTTGAAGCTAACTACAGAATTGGAATTGACAAGTCAGGAATATTTTATCTTTATATATTGATATGTAACTTTGACATAACAGAACTGATTTTCATTCAATACCACGAGAGCCTCTCTGATTTTAGAGAACACTGTAGTCCATCTGTTAGCATTTCTTTAAAAGCACATATTGATTGTCATTTTTATATCAATGTCTTTTTCTTAAACTGTTGATATTAAATTTCTTACAGACACCATTCTATTAACTCAACCAGACAAATGAGGTCTTTTTATTCAAGGGATGCTGATAAAGATCTTTTTGACCAGTTTCAATTTTATGGGCCACATTTTCATTTTCTCAGGCAAGAAGAGAAAACAGCACAAGTTCCACCTTTCTTTTGTCTGAGGATCATCTTCTTGCTTAAACACTGACAGCCTCAGTTTACTAAATAGTAAACTCTTTAGCACATACCGTTATCATTATATCCCTTAGAACACCCCTGTGAGGGAATGTGATTATTTATTATTTATTATCCAGGAGGTCTAATTCTTCATTGATTTACGGAAGTAGTAAAAAACTATTTCATCCCACATAATGCTTTGCTAAGAGGAATCCAAACCCGGGCACTACAATCTTTATGGCCTCTCCAGGAGGTTTTGGATGCAGGTGGTACTCTCATTACCACAGCTGAGAGAATGGAGAAGCTTGCCTGAGGTCTCTGAACAAACCAGTTATTCAGGGAGGAGAATCGAGGTCTCTCGATGCTGAGTACATAGTTGCAAACACACAGAACTCCCCAGAGAGCGTCCCAAATCATGTGTGTGCAGAAGAGAGAGAAAACAATACCCAGGATGCTTTTTTTCAGAATCCCCATAGCAATCTGTCACCTCTGCCCACTGCACATAAAGCACACCGAAGGGTATCAAACAACATAAAATCCTAATGGTGCCCTTAATTAGGTGGGACCAACGTGCTGACTCCTTACCTCCGGCTGTCCGAGCTCACAGCCCCAAACAGTTTTCTGTGGTGCCTGATCCTGAAAGCAAGATGTAGTCACAGAAACAATCTTTGGCTTTCAAAGGACCATCAAGCTTTGATAATGATGAAGTTTGATAGCAATAATGTCAAACTTTATATGGCCATAATCCAAGTTTACAATGATACATTAGCCATAATGCTACTATTTATATCACCATAAACTTGGTTTATGGTGATATAAATAGTCGTGCTAATGGCATTAACTGCAGCCCTCAGTGGAATCCCAGCTGTTGAGTGTTGCTTTTATGCTATTAGCATCATTATTTATATTATCATAAATTTAGGTCTTCAAACTTGTTATGTATGAATATACAAGGAAGATAGATATTCACATTTTCTGCCTGACTCAGGCTCCTGTTACCCACTTGCATGAATAGAGGTCTATCTAGAGTCCATTAGACTCTATTTGCTTGTGTTGGTTACACCATGTTTCTGTGGGAGTTACAGAAAAGCAATGCTGTTTTCTGGCATCTTCTGAGAGGCACAGAAATGCTATTTAAGTGTGACAAAGTGTAACCCATGGCGAATGGGCAAACTTACTGTCTCCTTGGCAGCGCAGGGGGCCCACGCTCAGTTTGGCTTCTGAGCCATGCCGGTCAGTATCTCCAACCACCACCTGGCTCACTGGTAGGTGATCTTTGTAGGATAAGAAGCCAGCATCCTTCCTCCTGGAGCACAGAGAAAAGCAGAAAGCAATGGGGAGGCTGAATTAGAAATATGTCTTTTGTGGCTATTACTTATGCTGTCTGATAATTGACACCACTTCACTAATTGCTCCAAAACTCACTGAGTGAAGTAACAGAGAGAGCTACTTTCCTGCCACCTCAGGTGATCACAGTATGTAATTCAAAACAACGCTGGCACCTTCATCTTCTAGGAAACAGAACTGACACCCTGATTTCCATAGGTTCACGGCTGACGTGCTGCAAACTATTTTAGGTTGAAAGGAGACCAGAGCATGTGCCAAACACAGAGGACATAATGCAGTTTGTAGTTGTCACTGTTCAAATTTCAACAAAGTCCCATAAGTCATATGTAAAACAAGATTCTATTAAATATTTTTCGGATTTGGTGGGCCTGACCTTTTCAATTCTTTATATGTTCTAAATATAAGTCCTTTGTTTGAGGGATGGCTGGTTAAATTCTTTCCATTTCTGTAGGGTTTTTTTTTTTTTTTTTTTTTTACTTTGTTGGTGATTTCTTTTGAAGTGCAAAAACTTTTTAATAAGATGAGGTCCCAGTTGATTCTTTGAAGTACTTCCCGAGCAGTCTGCGTTTTGTTTGTGAACTCTGCCTACCTCTGTTTTCAAGATTTCTACCTACTTTGTCTTCCAGTAGGTTTAGTGTCTCTATTTCAATATTTGGGTCTTTGATCCATTTTGACTTTAGTTTAGTGCATGGTGATAGACATAGTTGCAGTCTTTGGCATGTGGAAAGCCAAAATATACAATAGATATTGTGATAATGAAAGGGAAATAAAGTGCTCAAAAGGAAAGAACAATTAAGATAGGGGAAAGGAGAGAAAAAAGAAGGGAAAAGATTATATATATGATAGATAGATATACTACTAATCTCTGTTAGTTCATCCAAAAGAATAGTTTGTTCTTTCAACCTGAACAACTATTTCTAAGATAACAATATGCAATGTACTAATCAGTGTTAATTTCCTACTTTTTTTGGAAATTCTGTCTTATTTCTATCCTTTTTCTCTGTTTTGCTTTTTTAAAATAAAAAAAAAATTAAAAACGTTTTTCTCCTGAATTGTTTTGAAGCGGTTATTCCAGGTGCTTTCTTCATTGCTGTGTAAACTACCTGTTATTTTATCTGCAATTTGTTTCTTGGTCCCTTTTTCATATAAACTGAATAGCTTTATGGAAGTTTCCAACCCAGAGTAGGAGCTCAGTATCTATTTCTATGTACTACGAGCAGTGGAGCTGAGATTCCAGCTTATTTTGGCTTTCCTCCTAGCTCATTTTGTTTACCCTATACCTATCTTGTTTCTGGTCTTCCAATTCTAATCCATCCTTATCCTGAATGAAGGAAGAAGGCAATACTAGTTGCGAAGTACTGCTTGTAGGAAGACCCCCAGAAGCCCAGGCAATGTTCCTGGGAATGGATAGATGGTGAGTTCGATGCTGTGCTGTGGTTCTGGTCTTGTGTATCAGTACTGCTCCCTATCCCATTTTCCTTCTACTGTGGTTTAAAGATCTTTCTCTTCTAGTGGGGAGGGTGGAATGGCTGGGAATTACAAATCACAGTGAAGTAGTCGTTTCTCAAATTTGTCCTTGTAGATGTTTCTTAACACTGTTCAGTCTGAATGTAAGTAAAAACTTAGAAAACTGATTTTGGATGATGTGAGAATGACACAGATAACTCAGTTAAGGATTTTCCATTCACATCTCTTGACACATAGAGCAGGAAGTTATGGGGATCCACTTAGAAGTCTGCCTTGAAATGCTGCAGATAGAAGCAGTTACTTGTGTTTCTGCCTTCTAACGTGTTATTGAACAATATTCCCTCACAGATTAGGATCAGGGAAGGAGGCATAGAACTTGAGTAGTGAGCTTCAAACAAATGTATTTTACATTGTTTTAGTTAGTGCATTGTTTTCAAGTTTCCAAAATAAAGTTTTTCTAAGAAAATATCTATCACATTACAACTAACATCGTGGAAAAAAGTTATGAAATTTTTTGACACTGTAGGATAATGACAATCAGGCCTCAAATAACTCAGTGAAATTTTTCACAAATTTATTTTCTTTTATAGAAGCTCTATGAACTAAAGAAGGAATAAGCCTTTGGTATGAAACGTAATATTTGATTTTTTTTAAAGGAGCAAAACATGAAGCTGCCCTCTAACTGCATACTGTAATTTGACAGTCTACTGGAAATAGTGTGTTATATTTCCATGGAACATAAATAAGGCTGAGATTCTCAAGAGGTTACTGGCCCTTAGAATATGTGGCTGTAAGTTAGAGTGCTATAAACTAAGTCTGGAGAACCGATCTCCTGTTTTCATATGGCGTTGAAACTAAGATTTTTATATTTGATTAATTATCCTGAGGATAGACTCCAGGGTCTTTGTGCTGAGCTACATCCCCAGTTTCCTTTCTTGATACAGGATTCTTCTAAATTGCTAAGTTGCCCAGACTGGGCTTGAACTTGTCATCCTCCTGTCTCAGCCTCCCAGAGTGCTGAGGTTGCAGATATGCACCACCATGCCTGGCTTGATTTTTATATTTTTAAGTGCTTCAGTAAAAGGAAGCATAACATTTGGTGACATGAAAATGATATGGAATTCATCTTAAGTGCCCATACTAGAGTTTTATTAAAATATAGCTACTTTTAAAACAGATTGTCTCTGACTGCATGCTACCACAGCAGTGTTGAGTGGATATGATAGAAACTACATGACCCTCAAAGCCTAAACTGTCTATTTGGTCCTTGGTAGAAAAAATTTTCCAACATCTGCCAAATCTCTAGTCATTTTCCTCTAGAAATGTATGCAGTAAACACCCCACTGGCAGTCACAGCCAACACCTGCTGCCTAACACAAATTTCCAGAGTTGGAACTGGTGAAAGAAGGGGGCAAGAGATGGGGACAAAGTTATCCATCAAGCGGAAATAGAAAGGGTCCAATTCTACTGAAGCTTTATTTGTATCAGTGTGACATATGCTACATTTAATTAATAGTTGGTGTTTTTTTTTTGCTGATTTGTGTCATGCTGTCTCAGCTATGTGTCAGTGTTGGTACCACAGGCTGTTGTCCTATAGGAAGATGGTGTGTCCACAATTTGTGCTCTCATGGTTTACCTGTTACAGCACTGGTAAGACAAGGGGGGAAATTTTATGAGAACAAGGTCTCTCAGTTGCAGGGGCTCCAAAACATTCTGTGGTGAAAGGAGTGCTATTTGTGAAAATCTGAAAGCCACAATTCAGTGAATTTTTATATATATGAGAGGTATCATTGACAAACATGGTGAATTTTTAAATTAAAGCAGTTTATAGCAAGAGACCCATTGCCATTCATCTCCTTAAAAATGCCCCAACTGCTTAAATGATTTACATATGTCTCATCACCCCTGCTACTTTCTGAAGCTGTTCTGGAAGTCTTTCCATGAGTATCTTTAGCTGCACTGTTTTGGTTGCCTTGGTGTCTTGAACTGATTCAAGATGTTGACCTTTCATGGTCATTTTGCCTTTGAGAGAGAGCCACAAGTCACACAGCACCAGATGCAGTGACTAAAGCAGATGACTGATATGCCCTAGGCTGTGTGAGCCCATATTTCTGTTGGAAGGCACTCAACAGCAGCTTTCACTGAATTTTTGGTCATGACTCATATGAACAGAAAGGAAGCCTTCTAGAAAGGGGCAAGAATGATGGAGTAAGTGTGTTGTAATGAAGGCGAGTATTTTGAGGGTAATGTGCCTTTTATTGCAATAAATGAAAGCATTCACCATATATTTCAATTGCTATATATAGCAAGATTGCACAAATATATACACAAAACCATATATATATATATATATAAACCATATATATACATATACATATATATTTATATGTATATGATTTGTGTATATATTTGTGCAATCTTGGGGTAGGTACTGGTCTCCAATATCTTCAGTATACTGTAATCATTCCTGCCTCCCCCAGGAGTCAGTGTGCTCCCTAAAGGTAAGTGCTATTTTGTTCAAAATATTCCAAGTATTCAAATAGTCAAAGGTATTCTGAATAAGAGTTTGTCCTATAATCTTAAGAATCTAGCATTGCACAAAAATGATAATAAACACTCTCCTGCTGTCATTTGTCTCTAGTGCTTGTCTATTGTGCATAAGGCTATTGTATTTATAAAGCCTCATACATATGTTACTTATTGGCATTCATTTATGGTAGGCATTTACCCTAAATTAAAAATACTGGGTCACGAAGCACCTTTAGTGTTGCTGGATGCTGTCACGTGGTTTTTCCCAAACCCTGTACCCATTCCTACTTCCATCAGTGCGAACTCAGATTGCTTCAAGAGTCTTGCCAGTACCCAGTTTTGTTGGTCTATTTATGATGAATGAGATGACCACCTTATAATGAAACTTGGACTAACATAGAAGTATTTTAAAAGCAAATGTTTGGTAAATTCTAATGACTGTGTGATTTCATTGTCAAAAATTAGCATTTGTTGAACTTTGTAGGAAATCACACACTTATAAATTTTCATCTTTTGGAAATTCAATTTAAAAACTTTTATAACAATTTTATCAATACAGAATTTTAGTAGGTTTGAACTTACTTTTGACTGCTAAAATAAACTTTTTCAACTGTTTTGTAAGTGAAACTGAGTAATATCAGGGATGATGGAAATTTACAAGCCATGTTTTATCAATACAATCGTGTATTACTAATCAATGAAGGGGAAAAATTAATACCGTGAGTCATCAGGTACACTTAGTAATTGATATATCCACTTTTTACTAATGACAAGAATGAGAATTAGAGAATTTATATTGATCATGTCACCAGCTCATAAGTGGTAGAATCTAGATTCAAATTTAGACTACTTGGGTCACATTCTAGGACTTCCATGAGTGCAGGGGAACAAACAATAAAACCCCCATACCCAAAACAGAGTAAAACCACATAACCATTATATCAGTCAACAACCTTTATCTTT